CCTAGCTAAAAGAAGAACAAAAAAATCATTCATCAATTTTTGTCTTTTTGTGCAGATTTTTCAACTGAATTCAGTAACTTCAAATGGTGTTAAAAACATGATAAATTCAGCTGAATTCATCTGAATTCTTCTATTATGGGACACATGCTAAACATCCGGTTCTAAAAGACCCAGACTTTCATCATCCTATTTGACAGGATTTTCACATCATCGAAACAACAAAACCTAAATCTCACTAACCCAAAAACATGCTTCCAAATTCCGAGTGTGTATCGAATCTTAATGTTATGGTTTAGTTGATCGGATATTTGTATTTAAGGAACACCATCTTTTACTTTAATCTTTAATCAAACATTTTATAAAGATAAAGAAAATGTTGTGAGGGTTGAAACTAGTCATTTGTCTAGGTGCAAAAGTTAGTATTATACAAGTAATTTTGGATTTTGTCGAGGCCAAATTCCCATGTTACTAACCCTACAAAGCTTAACATATTAAAAATCTACCAAATCATATAAAAAAAAATTAGTGTAGAGCCAAGATATTGACATATCACATTCAGCTCTAAGAAACAAACAACAATGGAAAATAACATTCAGCTCTAAGAAACAAACAACAATGGAAAATACTTTACACAATTAATTTTCAAAAATGAGAATGAATCATTGATGGACAGCACTATAGAATGGAGAAGAGGCCAATGTGAGATATATAACCCACCACATGGTAATGAGTATTGCGTAGTTTGATACATTCCATATCAAGCAACAATACATAATGCATTGATGTCGGTCTTCCACTAGCCATTCCTCACGTGATATTTTGACCTTTCTCTTTGAGCAAAATAAAATATCAAACTCATTTTCTTGGAGATCTTAAGCAAGACCACTCCACACACATTTCTTTGTATTTTGGATAATTTATCCTATCGTTGTCTAACCGAGTAATTTGATATCTATCAGAAATGTTCTTAATTAGCATTATTTTGTCGTAATGTTACCAATGCTTGATTAATCGGTTAGATTCGTCTCGAATCATCATTTTAAATAGAAAATTTTATTTAGAATAACCTATTTTCAAAAAAAAATAGCTAGAATAACTTTATCATTTTTTTTTATTGCTGAAATAACCTATTCTGGATTTTTTTTTTCATAATATCAAAATTATTCTTAACAGACTCTGCCGAGGTATTGGCAGACTCTGCAGAAATATTGGCAGACTCTGCTGAACATTGGTAGACTCTGCTGAACATTGGTAGACTCTGCCAATGTTCGGCAGAATCTACCAATATTTTGGCAGAGTCTGCGTATTTCTAGRTATTGGCAGAGTCTGCTAATATATCGGTAGAGTCTACCAATATTTCCGCAGAGTCTGCCAATACTTCGGCGGAGTCTGCCAATGTTTCGGCAGAGTCTGCCAATGTTTCGGCAGAATCTGCCAATATTCGGCAGATTCTACCAATGTTTTGGCAGAGTCTGCGTATTTTTATATATTGGCAGAGTCTGTCAATACATCAGTTGAGTCTGTCAATACATCGGTAGAGTCTGCCAATATTTCGGCAGAGTCTGCCAGTGTTTCGGCAGAGTCTGTCAATACCTCGGCAGAGTCTGCGAAAGACAATTTTGATATTATGAAAGAAAAAAAAATCTAAAATAAATTATTTCAGCAATAAAAAAGTAATAAGATTATTCTAGCTATTTTTTTTAAAAAAGTAGGTTATTCTAACTAATTTTTTTTAAATACTTGATTGATTATAGATGTATGATTAATCCGTTATGCATCTAAGTTATTGACTTGGTTTTCTATTTTTCTATTGAATTTACTGATTACAATGCATAGAAAAAAATACCAAAAAATGTAAAACGCATTTTAAACCACTACATGTTCGATATAGTAGATACAATGAGCTCTCGATCTTAGCATGTAATACGCGATGATTAATAAATTTATTGGCGTTGAGAGAAGATAAAAGGTACTGTATATGTTTTGATGATCTTGAGAAATTTAAAAAAATACTACTTTTCAAATGTTATTTTACAAAAATGCTACATTTTTAAAATCTTTGCAAAAATGTCATTTTTTCAAAAAAAAAAAAATTTTTATATCATTTATATTTGAATTAATTATGTTCTATTAGGGTTTAGTTATGAGGGTTTAGGGGTTTTAGGGATCAAAACATTTTTTAGGGTTTAGAATTTTAAGATATAGGCTTTATAAAAATCTATAATTAGTGGCATTTTTGCAAATGGACACCCCTAAATGGCATCCTTGCAAATGTGCACACAAAAAGTAGCATTTTTATAATTGCCCATTTGATCTTTAGTGTAAAAAGATAGGAAAAATTGGATTATATATCCTAAATATTATTAAATTTTTAAAATCGATATCAAATTTATTAAACTTTGAAAAGTACCATTTATTTTTGTTTAAAAAGATATTTTATCCTTAGTTAATGAAAACTTAAAACAAAAAAAAATGATTTGATTTTCTAACTTACAAAAAAAATGATTTGTAATTTTTAAAACTAATAATCATCTATTAATTTTAATGATAAAAAAATCTAAGGATTTAAATCACAATATATTTTTATATTAATTAAATAAAATTTCGAATTGATACTTTTTTATAAAATAAAATTACCAACTGATTTTAATTAATTTGATCATTTATAATTTAATTAATTTAGGTAATAATATGTCAAATCGATGAACATAAAAATTAAATCAATGGTTTAAAWAAGTCGACAAGGTAAAAAGTCAACCAACAAAAGTATAAATCAATATTTTAAAATAAATTGATGAATAAAAAAATTTAAGTCGACGATTAAAATAAATAAATCAATGCTTTAAATAAGTCGATAACTTAAAATATCAATCAAACGAAATGTAAGTCAACAATTTAAAATAAGTCGACCAACTGAAAATTAAGTCAAAGAAGATAAATAATAAGTCCATGGTTATATAAGTCGACAAGGTAAAAAATCAAGCAAATGATAATATATGTCAACAGTTTAAAATAAGTTGACAAAACTAAAAATTAAGTCAACAAAGTAAAAAATCAAGCAAACTAAATATAAGTCAAGAGTTTACAATGAATCAAAAAAACTGGATATTAAGTCGACAAACATAAAAAAATAATCAACTGTATAAATAAATCAATGAAGTAAAAATCAACCAAAAAAATATAAGTCGACTGTGTAAAATAAGTCAATCTTTATTTTTTAATTAAATAAAAATTAAGCTTTTAGTCATTGATTTATTAACAAAATATGTTTAAAAATAAAAAGTAAGTATGAAATTAAATTTCGAATTTAAGTTTAATAATTTTAGATTATTATAAATTTATATAGTAAGCTAAATATGTATAGGGTATTTACGTATTTTTATATAATAAAAATATATGTTTCAAGTTTTTAAAATTAAGTATATTTTTCAAATTTCTACTACAATTTAGGGTATTTATGAAAATCTCCCAGGATTATGAACCAAATGTCTCGAATTTATCGGTAATGAAAAAATCTTGAGAGTTAATTAGTTTAGTGGAGGGAGAGCAACGCATGTCGATCGAGCAGAGAAAGCCAATATTAGAGTGGACCCCAGAAAAAAAAACAGATAGAAACATACAAGAAAAGAATAGGAGATGTGGAATACAGTCTGTTCTCACATATTTCTCTAAATAAAACCCACTCTTCATTTTTATAATCTTAATTACTTTCT